GTCCCTACTCAACATAAAGTCATGTGATATGTCCCTGCCAAACAAAAGTCATGTGATATGTCCCTGCCAAACATAAAGTCATGTGGTGTGATCCTACCCAACATAAAGTCATGTGGTATGTCCCTACTCAACATAAAGTCATGTGATATGTCCCTGCCAAACATAAAGTCATGTGATATGTCCCTACTCAACATAAAGTCATGTGGTATGTCCCTACTCAACATAAAGTCATGTGGTATGTCCCTACTCAACATAAAGTCATGTGATATGTCCCTGCCAAACATAAAGTCATGTGATATGTCCCTGCCAAACATAAAGTCATGTGGTATGTTCCTACCCAACATAAAGTCATGTGATATGTCCATACTCAACATAAAGTCATGTGATATGTCCCTACTCAACATAAAGTCATGTGATATGTCCCTACCGAACATAAAACCATGTGGTATGTCCCTACTCAACATAAAGTCATGTGATATGTCCCTACTCAACATAAAGTCATGTGATATGTCCCTGCCAAACATAAAGTCATGTGATATGTCCCTACTCAACATAAAGTCATGTGGTATGTCCCTACTCAACATAAAGTCATGTGATATGTCCCTGCCAAACATAAAGTCATGTGATATGTCCCTGCCAAACATAATGTCATGTGGTGTGTTCCTACCCAACATAAAGTCATGTGATATGTCCCTGCCAAACATAAAGTCATGTGGTATGTTCCTACCCAACATAAAGTCATGTGATATGTCCATACTCAACATAAAGTCATGTGATGTGTCCCTACTCAACATAAAGTCATGTGATATGTCCCTACCGAACATAAAACCATGTGGTATGTCCCTACTCAACATAAAGTCATGTGATATGTCCCTACTCAACATAAAGTCATGTGATATGTCCCTGCCAAACATAAAGTCATGTGATATGTCCCTACTCAACATAAAGTCATGTGATATGTCCCTACCGAACATAAAACCATGTGGTATGTCCCTACTCAACATAAAGTCATGTGATATGTCCCTACTCAACATAAAGTCATGTGATATGTCCCTGCCAAACATAAAGTCATGTGATATGTCCCCACTCAACATAAAGTCATGTGGTATGTCCCTACTCAACATAAAGTCATGTGATATGTCCCTGCCAAACATAAAGTCATGTGATATGTCCCTGCCAAACATAATGTCATGTGGTGTGTTCCTACCCAACATAAAGTCATGTGATATGTCCCTGCCAAACATAAAGTCATGTGGTATGTTCCTACCCAACATAAAGTCATGTGATATGTCCATACTCAACATAAAGTCATGTGATATGTCCCTACTCAACATAAAGTCATGTGATATGTCCCTACCGAACATAAAACCATGTGGTATGTCCCTACTCAACATAAAGTCATGTGATATGTCCCTACTCAACATAAAGTCATGTGATATGTCCCTTCCAAACATAAAGTCATGTGATATGTCCCTACTCAACATAAAGTCATGTGGTATGTCCCTACTCAACATAAAGTCATGTGATATGTCCCTGTCAAACATAAAGTCATGTGATATGTCCCTGCCAAACATAATGTCATGTGGTGTGTTCCTACCCAACATAAAGTCATGTGATATGTCCCTACTCAACATAAAGTCCTGTGATATGTCCCTGCCAAACATAAAGTCATGTGATATGTCCCTACTCAACATAAAGTCATGTGGTATGTCCCTACTCAACATAAAGTCATGTGGTATATCCCTACTCAACATAAAGTCATGTGATATGTCCCTGCCAAACATAAAGTCATGTGATATGTCCCTACTCAACATAAAGTCATGTGGTATGTCCCTACTCAACATAAAGTCATGTGATATGTCCCTACTCAACATAAAGTCATGTGATATGTCCCTGCCAAACATAAAGTCATGTGATATGTCCCTACTCAACATAAAGTCATGTGGTATGTCCCTACTCAACATAAAGTCATGTGGTATGTCCCTACTCAACATAAGGTCATGTGATATGTCCCTGCCAAACATAAAGTCATGTGATATGTCCGTGCCAAACATAAAGTCATGTGGTGTGTTCCTACCCAACATAAAGTCATGTGGTATGTCCCTACCCAACATAAAGTCATGTGACATGTCCCTACCCAACATAAAGTCATGTGGTATGTCCCTACTCAACATAAAGTCATGTGATATGTCCCTGCCAAACATAAAGTCATGTGATATGTCCCTACCGAACATAAAACCATGTGGTATGTCCCTACTCAACATAAAGTCATGTGATATGTCCCTACTCAACATAAAGTCATGTGGTATGTCCCGACCAAACATACAGATATATGATATGTTCCTACCAACCACTAAGTTACCCGTCATTAAATTATGTATTATTTCCCTAGCAACCAATAAATCACGTGATATGTCTTAGTCCAAGTCTAAATTATGTAGCATATATTGTTTCTCCCCAGCACTAATTCTTGATATACTAGTATGCAAAACAATCACTAAGTCATACAATGTGTCACTAATGAGTGCTAAATCATGTGGTATTTATAAGGATCACTTATGAATCTTGACAAAGTTCTTCTCTCAACAAAATGGGATTGTTGAAAACCGGAAGAATTGCACGTCATGTTTACAGTACATTATGGGTACATAATGTCAATAGGTGCAACATCCTGTCATTGTTATTTGTGTACTAGGAGTGATAGCAAAGATTCTATTAAACCTGTTTTGATAATAAATTAAGATATCAATACTATATTATATTAAACCAGTTCCAGGCTGTTTCTTTTTTAACAAAATATTAATAAATTGATTTGTTATTGTGTTGTCAGCTGTTTGTTATGTGCCGCTGTCTAAACCTTTATTTGCATTTTTTAAAATTATTATTCAAGTCCTGCATATTTGACAATTTCTGTGAAATGTATTCATATTTATGTATTCATAATTATGTGCAGATTAATGCGTTACTGACTTATAAGAACAGAAAACGACAAGATAAACAAATTAAAATAAATCGCGGTAACTGGGCACTGTAATACATGATATATGCATGGTCGGCCTTAAAAGTGAGATGATTTTTTTTTACGAATCATTAAATACTAGTATTTAGGTTTTACAGTGCGTTTAATGGTTCATCAAAAACAACATTTACGAAAATGAGTACAGGTTGTATATGGTGTAGTCAGCAGTCACAATGACGATGCTTATTGATACAAATTATGCGTCTTACAGGGGTCCCAGTAAGTCCATATATGGTGTTATGACACACTTCAGTGATGGGATAGCAAAGTTCAAAGTTGAGAGTAAGTTCAATGCCAAATGCGGTATATTATTGCAACGAATCGTTTTTTTTTACAATACACTTTGTCTATCACAGTGTATATGTAATCTTGTATTCGATGTTGACATTCTCTTGTCACTATTTCTTTCAAGTAAATTAATGACATGTACAATAACATCTTAATGCATTGAAAAATATTTAAAATACGATCAATAAATACGAGTAACTCAAAACATAAAATAAATTCAAAGTTCTTAAAATACAAATGTCTGTAAAATATATTCGTGTCATAGTTTTCGTTTGAAGGACTGATTTACTAAATGTGTCAGTGCTTGTTTTGTATTCAAATATTTCAACAATTTGTTTCTTTGTCAGTCACTGTGAGTGCTTAGATTCTGTTCTCGTTCATGTATTGTCTCACATTTCATTTGAAATTCACAATTTGTGATGAAATTCATTTTAAATAGACCATTTTCCGTTCACTGCGAGAATCACGCGTTATGCGTGAAATCGAACGTAAAAACAAGACAAACAAAGGTCATAGCGTCGTAGTGGCGTCAAACATCGCGTGGGATTCGACAAACGCGAAAGTATTTTGGGGGACATTTCCATGCTTAATAATGTGCTGTATACATTTGATGATAGGCAATTTCGATTAAGTGAGGGTATTCGGAAGCAATATTCCTCTGTCGAAGATCGGCCGGTCGATGTGAGCTACGAAATAAAGAAATTAGAGTTGAAAATCAAATCGTTCGATTTTTACAGCAGACGTTCGACGCGCGTCTTTCATGCATCTCGCGAGATCTCGCAATTGTACGGAAAATCACCTATTATATTATTTTTTTGCATGTCTGACAAGTATTTTTGGTTTCTTACGTCAGTCGAGTTTTATTTGTGGACTATGTGGGCTTCGTCCAATTCTCGGAATTAAACTAGTTTCTTTTCTAGTAATTGTTTGGTGTACTAGTATGCAGCTGCTGTGTTGTTGTTGTTATACGTTATAGACGTCCGCCATACTGTTTGGTCTGGTTAGCCATGAATCTAGATCGATATGTCCAGGGCATGGAAGACATATCCTTTTTCTTTTTTTTTTCTTCAATATTTTCGCAATATTGTATTGCTCTATAGTGAATTGTTCCATTCTTGGTCATGTCCGTTTGTTTTGTGGTTTGTAAAAACAGTTCTAGTTTGCTTTGATTTTGTGTTTTAGACGATCTCGTCTAGTTGGCTGGTTTTATGCGTATAGTGTGCCGCGAGAAAGTTATTAAAATAGGTTGTATTCGGTTGAAACAATGAATGCATATTACTGTCACAGAACGCGGCAGGCAAGTGTATTCTTTTTTGTTATTTACTCGTAGTGCATGTGTGTTATGAAGAAAACTACGACAGTAATGAAAATAATAATAAAATAAACCTATATTAATACAATCCATAGAATTAATACATTAGTGATACAACGAGTCGTGGATCACAGCTGGTATCAAGGGTAATCTAGCATTGCGTGCCGCTCAATTTGCCAAAATACAAATCATGTAACTTATTATATTCATTTTGACAAGACTAATGACTAATAATTATTAACGGAATGAATTTTTTTTGGGGGGGGGGGGGTTAGAGATACCAAGTTTCAAAGAGACTGGACTTATTAATTTAAATAGCCTCGTTTTTATTACGCGATACAAGTTGATGGCAGTAAGTAATCAAACGTAATGGTTTCAGTCAGGCGAGAATAAATTCTCAGACCGGTGTGTTTGTTCTCATTCGTAATAGCCTTGTAACGTGTATGGTGCACGACTCAACTCAACTTCGAACATCCTGAGCTCGGCAAATTCCAATCACCAACGGCGTAAAGCTGTCTACTAGACCAGACTCAAGTAAAATAAACTAAAATAAACAGAAGTTGAATACTGTAGACCTAGAAAACAGTAGACCAAGACTAGACTAGAATAGACTAGAAATAGATAGAATAGAATAGATAGATAGATAGATAGATAGAATAGATAGATAGATAGAATAGATAGATAGAATATTTAATAATTAAATGAAATTAAAATGTTT